CCACTCTGGGTGGTTCCTTTCTGAAGTGGGCTGTGGGGCAGGGTCAGGCTCTGGGGTAACATTCCCAGTCTCTTGGACAGGATCAGGCTCTGGGGTAACATCACTAATCCCTGGGGTAGGTATCAGGGTTGTTATCCAAGTCAATCTCCCCTTATCTCTGAATGTTAGATAAATCAGGTTGAACAGGAATATCAGCAACACCAACCACAGTGTAATGTCATTGGCATTTAGAGCGGATTTGAACCCCTTGAAGACTGGTGGGGTGGACTTCAAAAACTGGGTGATGTGTTGGGAGAAAATTTCCCCTGCTGTCACTTCCTCACAGTAAGTACCATTATTGAAGTAGTCCCAGAAACACACACTTAGAGTGTGATAGCTCAGAATCTATCCATCTGGCCATCTTCCAGAGAAAATTAAAAATCCATGAATTCTTCAACTGATCAGCCCACAAGATGAACTGGATAATACCCACAGCAACCTTGGTTATGAGACTCATGTTCATCAAAGGGTTTGCAAATAGGAGAGATATAGCAGTGACCACAAGGAGGCCAAACCAGCTGGACAACATAGTTCCACCTAACACAAGCTTAGGAAAATCAAGAACAGTTATTCCATTTTTCACCCCTCTCTCAATGCCCTCAGGCAATGTCCGGGCGTCAAAATCTCTCTCGGTTTAAAAGACAGGTATCTGCCAAAAGAGACAAGGGCCTTTTTTTTTCTGAAAAGGAGAGTATACAATCCCCCCCCCTTTAACTCCACCATGATTTTGTAATTAAAGGGCTCTTAGGCAAAGATATGGGGGTAGAAATAACAGTTCTTTACTGACATATATATATAACAAAGGAAACAGAACATAACAACAATAACTGCGAGATCAGCAGTAACAGAGCAGGCAGCCCAGTGAACAGTTCTCCCGGCTGTGGACACCTTTCCTGTGCGGTGCAGGCTCCGTTCTGGCGCTGCCTGCCAGCTCTCGCTGAGCAGGGAGGAGATGCGGTGATCCCACGGGGCTGGAGGGCGCTGCGGTGAATGGCGTCTGTGTCCCTGATGGGAAGGATGGAGGGGAGACGCTGCTCATGGATCCCAGGGCAGTGTCAGTCCTGATGCTCCAAAAGGATGTGCTGGAGTCGGCAGGAGATGCGGGAGAGAGTTTGAGCAGGGAGGCTGCGGGACCCCCCAGCCAAGGAAGGCAGCTGCGGGGTCAGCGTGGCAGAGCGGAGTTTCTAGCGGCCGTCCTTGTCCGAGCCAGATGAGCGAGAGAGCCGGAGCCCGAGACAACAGGCTCCTATCCTACCTTTCCTTATCTAGTGTGGCCCCTCTCCTCCCTGCTTCGAGAGAAACTGTTACCTTAGCTATCTGAGCTTCTGGGTGTAGCCCCAAATACTTAGCACAACAATGGGAAAAATTCCACACAAAGAAAAGGGGAAAATTCAGCCCCTAACACTCAGTCAATTTTTATCATTTATGCTAAGGATTCAAAATTCTTTAGCATTTCATGTCGCCTATAGAAATTTTTTGTCTTTGCAAATGATAACATTTGAAACTAGTATGAGGAACATATTCATTTCACAGAATTCTCTGAAGGCAGCTCATCAGAACAACTTGAGTAAGACACTTTTTCTCCTATCTATTTCAAGTTTTGAACTCTGAATTAAGCACTGATTAGATATTTAAAGATATAGAGCCAGTGAGAATTCTTTTTTTTTTTTTGGTCTTAACCAAATTACATTTATTTTTGGTCCAAACCAAATAATTAATTTCATTTCATAAATATCCAAATGTAGACCCTTTCCAATCCATTAAAAGTGATTTTAGAGAACCTGTTTATTTGCCTGTGTGTAGACTAGCAGACATGAGTATTTTTAAAATAGAGGGGAAAAAAACTTATTCTCTGAAAAAGAAGTTGTGTAAATTGTTTTAGACAAAGATTTTTTATTAACAAATATATCAAAATTATATTTTCTGAAACCATCTGAAAAGTTAAACTCCCTCTTGGACTTTCCTTTCTGCCTATAGCTTAAAAGTTCTGGTGCAACTTTGTTGAAAAAGTCTGGGTCCCCAAGCCAGCTAGAATGTTTTTAAGAGGCTAGTCTAATACAGTTTTCTACACAGATGTTTATAATTAAGTGCTATGAAAAGGATCATAAATTATAATGGAAATCAAATAGTAAATTATTTTAAGGATGTAATCATAGATCGTTGCATATCAGTCTTGAAAATACTGGTCGAGTTGATCTTTAATAAATTTTGTAGATAACCTTTGCTGTGCAGAATGTGTTTGTCAGCTTGTAAAAGTGACATGTGAAGGGCCAACTGCCCTGGAGAGGTATAAGAAATAATTTTAAGCCTATTTAGTGTTCTATTAAATAACTTTCTGATTTGTTTTTTTTTTTCTTGACAGCTCCTTTATATCAGGCTGTTCATTTTCTTGAGTTCTTTGAACTTCAAAACACACCACTAATGGAGCAGAGAGGACTTAGAAATTCTGCAGTAAGTCTTCAATGGATTGACAAGAGAACTTCTAATTTTTCCCTATGACTGAAAGAATGCAGATCTTTAATTATGTTTGTGCACTTGCTAATGGTGAAATTGCTATGGAACAGTTGAAGGATGACCAACTTTTGGAGTGTGTGTGTTTGCATGTGTGTGTGTGTAATTATTGGTGCTTCTATGTGAAGCAAAGAAAGCAGTACCTTCTGTAAATGACATTTCTTTCCCTGCATGTATTTTAAAATTAGATACTGTAACCAAGCTGGGAAAATCTGTAGTTGTCTGGGACAGGGTGGCTAGCAGTATGACAGGTAACAAGAGTCTGAAACACTCAAATTTGAGCTGAAATGCAACACTTGAGAAGTAAAAAATAGGAAAGAAATTCCATGGAAGGCCAAAACAATGTTCTTGGACAGCATAATTCATAGTGCTCTGAGGAGGTCCCTGGAAAAACCAGGATAAAGTATTTGTTCCTCACAGAGGCAGCTACAGCTGTGCTGAAAATAGACTGCCCCTCACTCTTCTGTCTGTGCTGTGTATTTCTTTTTTAGAGTTGATACAAGGCAATGAATCAGAAACCAGTCTCTATTTTAAAACCCCATGCCCAAACTCTGTACTTATATTGTGTTGATTTGAAATAAATTCACTGACTCTTGTTAATGACATATGTTAAAAACATATGTTATATACGTTGAAAAGATGTTAAGACATGACTGTACATTTGTTTTCTTGTTGTATTAGAGAATATGTAAAGTAAATATTGCATAAATATATGGTTTTTAAGTGTGAATTATTTGGCTTCTTTTAAAAGAAGTATAACTATTGTTATTTTAATGAGATACTGAAAGAGTACATATCAGCCATTTTTTATAGAATCATTACTTACTCAGCACTGAGTTATTTGAATTTTAACCAAGAACAGAAGTCATACCCTTGTGTAATTATGGCTGTTTGATTTATGGTCATGGTATTTTTTAAATTTTATACATTGTAGAAGATGGAAAAAATACTTTTAAGATTTGCCCTTTACAAAATTAAAGAATTAAAAATTAATTTGATTGAGAATCACACAACTGCAGTGAGGAATTTTGAGTTATCATTTCACCTTGTAAAGAGCAATAGTTCCCACTGACCTGTTCCCCTCCCATACTGAGAAACTAGATTTAACCTTTTGATAATGCCTTGATATGAAATGCCAAGAATGTCCATACATAGATATTTGGGTAACAGGCTCAAAAACTGGACAACCCTTGGGGAAAAAGAAATTAATATTTACGTAAGTAATAAAAATGGATTTGCCTCTCAGTAAAAATTTCTATATTTTTAAAGAAAGTGTATATGTGAACAGTTGGCCATGGTTTGTACTGTAGCATTTTTTCAATTTTCTAGGATGCCTGTGGCATCAAGCATGGCCTTAACTGAGGGCCCACCACCTCAGGATCAGACTCAGGACTCGGCACCCATTTCTGAAATCATTCTTTGCTACATATTTTAAATATTTCAGGTCCTTTTTCTCTTTTTCACTGATTTCATTGATTTTCTATAAAAGTTTCCAATTGCAGGAGAAAGAGAAAACAAGGTGGTTTTCCTCAGATTAATTGCTCATATTCACCCTTACAAACTAGACAATTTTGGGGCCACCGAGTTTTTCTGTCAGAAATGGTGAATGCAGAAAAATAATATTCTCTTCTAGTTTCTCTTTGCCTTTCTCATTAATTTCTTGAAGGGAATTCTTACTAATTTGTTTGTTCTTTTATCCAAGCAAACTGCTGAGTAATGTGAATGAGAAAAGAAGTAAAAAAAATATAAAAAAAAAAAAATCAGTGTAATAGTGTTTCTTTCTCCCATGACTCAGAAAGTACATTCCTGCTTGGATATACATAGATCTGTATTCTGTACTGGTCCAGATGGTAAAGTGTTATGAGCAATAACACCTAGAAGAAGGTTATTTTCTTTAATTCAAGGCAGCATTATTTTCTGAGAACATGAAGGCCTTAATTATTCCTTATGCTGTATGTATATATATTGCTAACTATATAATATAGTTAAAAAATAAATCTTCAACTTTCAAATTTGTTTCTGCCAGTCTCAGCAGAGGTTTTGATAAAAATTTCAAGAAATTAACAGAAAAACTAAGTTCTAATTTATACCCCTTCATAAAACTCTTAGTGAACACTCAATTGTATTTGAGTATTTTCCAATTATTACATTTCATTCAGATACTCATTGGTACTTTTGTTATTAATATTAAAGAGGCTAAGTTTCTATAAGTAAAAGTTTTATGTGATGCGTTTGTAGAGGCAGAACTAATTTTCAAGGATGCAGTGATTACAGTATATTATTATATGTTGTTATCTTTTATTTTTGAAGGTAACATAATTGCAACTAATGTAAGAATGACACTAATTTCAAGGAACAATAATTACATCTTTAGGTTCCAATCGGAATTTATTACTGCATTGTTACTATTATTGTTTGCTATCCCTACTAAATTGCTAAAGGAAAGTTGTTGAATGTCTTTCTTCTGACAGAGAACCACAGTAGGATCTCTTTATAAAGGAAAACTATCCCATCCAAAACATCTTTTCTGAATAGAGATGTTGACAATGGTTTTAGCATTTTATAATGAGATAAATTTCTTTATATGCTATTGACTTGCTGTGTAAAAAAGTGTTACCACTGACAAA